ATTTCACCGACAGCTTCCTCCGTTACGCATGGTTTCTTTGCTTTTGGAGATGAGATTTCCTCGGCGTGTGACGTTGCTGCTGGCTCATTTTCTTCATTCTAAAATAACGTTCAAGCTCTCGCGTGTTGCTTAATCTATGAACTAAGACAATCGGCGTATAAAAGTGTGCAGTTCTTACTGCTTTCGATGTTCTTTTCGCTCCTCTTCTGACCGGTTTTTCGGGTTGCGGCGGTGGCGAATAGGCTGCTTGTCGTGGGTTTCGCTCCAACAGCACTGCTTCCTGTAATTTTACAACATTTTGATGCTGTCAAGTCATTTATTCGCCCAATCTCCGTTTGATCATATTTTTTACGATAACTCGATCAGCTGTATTTCACAAGTACAGCCAGTATTTCCATTAAAGGACAGGCGCTGATAAATTTCGCATCCCCTTGCCTCCAAAGAAGCGTATAAAGTGTCCCTGATCTGAGAAAAGCCAATTTTCAAGTTCACCCACAGAAAACAAATAGTAGCAGTATTTTATGGTGCTGCTACGGAATTCCGCACTTTTCCAGTTATACACTACAAGGAATGTATGCGAGTTGATGGACCGAAACATTCCTATTCAGGTTTTTATTCCGATTTATCTAATTCACCTTCCTTTTATTCCCTTACTTTTAAACCCTTACTTTTTACATAAACATACATCATCTAAAATTAAAATTACAATAAAAAAGTAAAAGGTGGAGACGAGGCAGGGAATCAAGCCAAAATCGAAATTCTTCCTTACTCCCTAAGAGAGACGGCAATATTTAGAAATAGCCCGAAAAGGTAGCAAATGCCAGCAGCAACCATTCGGTAGCAAGGCCGTTGATAAATTCCCCTTTCAAGAGCTGTTTAGAAGCAAATTGATGGCATTTTGGCACAAAGGATAAGTTCTAAATCTGCAAAATTTAGATGTCGCATGTACCTGTAATCTGTCGGCAAGGACAGTTTTGTTGCCCGTTGTATCCAGTCCTCGTTGTTGCAGCTCTCGTCTTAATCGACCAGCATCGTAGAAATGTATCATCGCCGGATTGAGAGCATCAGCACCGCCTGTACTTCGCCGACTTCTCGTCGCCATTATTCTACAATTACAGCGATTGATAATAGCG